TTGACAAGGCTCACTGCAAGTTCTGCGTGACTTACTACCTTGAGAAAAACAATTGGAGCTTGTAATGCAAATACGATGGGGCAAGACAATGTCTTCGTGAAACGAAGGCCACTACCGGGTCCATTGCCCAATCTCTAGATCAGAATTTATCAACTCGCGGCCTACCGTGGCGTTCTGTGCAGCCCGAATTTTTTTTTTTTGATTTTCTGATATTTTATCATTCTGTATAATTAAAATAGTTAGAACCTAAATTAAATATTTATTTTAAGCGGATCATTAATCAAAGTAATAAATCACCAAACAAAAATCGACAACGATCTAGGGTTTATTGGCTACATGGAATGTCCATCAGTATTGTTGAAATGTTAGGACACCGCTGAACGACAGTTTGGTCGTGTCCTTAAGAACGAGTGCTGTATTTTTATCATGTCTACACGATGTCTCAAAAAGATGTATACACAACAGCAACTTGAAGCTAACGGTGGTCATTTTAAACACTTACACTAGGTTATCTAATACACTAAATGTCAGTGCTCACGTGCGTAATGGTTTGGTTTATTAAAATGTCTTTGTTTCATTTACTGGATGTGTATATACGTCTTTTTGGGACAAACTTCATTTGTTTAAGCACAGATACGACCTGTAAGAAAAGTTAAATGACGAGGAAGTACGAGTTTTTTTTAAAGAAAAGTGGTATCTCGGTTTATTGCACATGGAGTTTAAAGTAAAAACACTTTGTTTAATTTGCAAACAGACGAACGTAGTGATGGAATATTATAATGTAAAAAGGCATTATGACACCATACACGCTTCTATGTACGACGACGTGAAAGGATGTTTCCAGAGTGATAAATTACAACAGTTAAATATTAAACTCTCAAGTTAGCATTCACTTTTGTTCAAGGAAACCATACAAGCAGAAAACAGCGCTAAGGCTTATTGCAATAAAAGAATGCAAAATGAGGAAAGCAATTTGTTGACGATAAATTTGTAAAGGAGTGTCTTCAATGAGCTGTCCAACTTAGAAACTAATACGTAATCACAGTTTATCGAAAGACTCTATAGCAAGGCGAACATATTCAGTGCCTTGAGGTCCAGGTAAATAAAGTTAATTTGCATTCTCTAACAATGTATAAAAAATACGGATGCCACAAATATTGTCCAGGTAGCCTGTTCGTGGGGTTGACGAAACTTATAAAATTATGGAGGAATTTGCTTCTTTAATCTCCCGTGCTGATGTGTACACGACTTTGCAAAATACAGTAAGGCGTGTCAAAAATTATCAATACGAGTAAGTCTGTCCGAGCTAAAGACGGTATCCCAGCACTGTTAGACAACAAAGAAGGATTGATAAAAGAAAGAGACGCACAGGAATTCAGAAACAATGACATCGTGACGTTTCACTGTATAGTGTACCAAGAAAATATGTGCGCAGAATCCTAACCTGGCTTTGAACATGCGATGAGTGTCGTTACCAAAGTTGTAAATTTTATTTGGCCCAAATGCCTCAACCACAGGCAGTTCCAAAACTTATTCAGTGAATTAGGAGCTCCATTCGGTGATCTGAATTGTTATTTTAAGTTCGGTGTCTGAGTAACGGCAAAATGCTAAACCGCGAATTTTCTTTGAAGAAAGAATTCGGAGATTTCAAGGAATCAAAATGGTAGTCTTTTCATGAAATAGGATTCACAATAGATTTGATTCTGAGTTCTTTTTCGACAATAGTGGGCGCTCTAACGGGCCTAATTCTCTCCTTTAAGGCAAGGACCAATTTGGGCCTACCAGTATCATAATGGGCATTATTATACATTGCATAAAGCAGGCTCTATAATAGATTACGCTCCGGGAATCGGATTTAAACCTATCTTCAGATGACATATTTATCTTTACGTTTGATTTTTTTTTTCTAAATTAATGTTAACAATAGGATCTAGTTAGGAAATGCCTTAATTAGTGACGAATTCTGGTCTAGAGCATCCTTCTTCCCAATAATCGCACCACAATGCTAAGGCATTTTAATAACAATAGTAATCTTCTGTTGCTTTATACAGTAAAACATTTTATATTCCATCTGTTTTAGTAGTTTGGCGGCACAGTACTAGTAAGGTCGGAGCATTCGCCACTGTTCTGAATATACTTAAACTGTAGAGCCAAATACCAAAGCGTTGACAAAATTAAATATACCTCATACAAAAGAAAACCTGTTAATTTTTACGTTATCAACAGCAATTAGGCGTATATATACGTGTAAATCCCGTTTAAATATAACTTGGCATGTTCCGTGTACGATTAAAGACGCGCAATTTCCTGTACGTTCTGACGTCTCAACAAAATGGCGTATGTACCCTTCAATTAATAAATATACAACTTAAAAAAAAGAATAGTGTAATTGTCAACCAGGCTACAAAGTTGTTACAAATTAGAAGGCGGACATTGTGAATAGTTTTAGAAGAAGAATGTTTGTTTTAAAGTGCCTGCATTTTAAAAATATAAGCCCAATTTTAAAATGTTACCACAAAACAAATACCAGACTTACCCGCTTAGGTCCTTGCACTCTACGAACACACGGACAGACTCCATGGTCGGAGCAGAAGCAAGTCAGAGAGAGTGAGACGTTGGACGTGAGTATACAAACCTGCACAGAAGGAAATGTTTGGCTGCCAATGACTTGTACAGTATGATGGAACTAGATGTACTACTGAGGTGAAAATTATACGAAGTACAGAGTCAAATTGAATTATATTATTTGTTAGTATCAAATAAACAGTGCTGTAATAAAACCTTACCTCATTTGCCAGTGACGCAGAATTTAACAAGGTCCTCTGGCATATCCATTAAGTCCTTTGGGTATTTGTAGAGAGAAGAAACAAGGGAGAAAATTAAAGAGAGAGCAGGAAGAGAAACAGAAAGAAAGGAATAAAGAACCGAAACTGCTCATATCTAGGTCTGCCCAAACCGCAACTGATTCTTCTGTCAGGGGTCGGCAACCTTTTTATTACCGTAAGTCGCATTGGAATTTCATATCTCTGTAGACAGACGGCGGAAAAAATAATTCCGAGGCCAGTAAGCGAATCTGCGTTTCTTTAGCTGGTGTTCACTTGAAAGCAATGGCTATTTCTCCACACAATGTTGTTTGTTAGATTTAAAAAAAATTGATTTCAAGTCACTGTCAGTTTTATAGAACTTCAGTTATTAATACCACATTAATTCGTTTATTGTTTCGTAAAATTTCACGTAATTTTAAACAAAAGAAGAACGTACTTTTGCGTAATAACGCGTATTTAACGTTAGAGGCCATCAACAAAATGTTTATTTCATTTTCTTTTGGTGACTGTTTGCCCTTCCAGCTTTAATAATGTTCCTCAGTCCTTGCATTAGCTAATTCCACAGCCCACTGTATGCCTTGGCCTTCCTGGAGAATTTGTCTGCCAGATTTTCGAACCTATTTCGACAAGAATGAGTACTTATCCTTGGACTTCTACACTGGACAGCACAGCAGAGAATGATGTGGACACACATCCATGCCTAGAGTGGAATTCGAACCCACAAACCCAGTGTTCGAGAGACCAAGACCCCTGTGATTGGCGTAGGCCTACACCATCTTTAAAACATGTCCCATAACAGTACGTTTCGTCTAAAATTATACAAGCCTGAACTCGGGGTGTGTCCTTTTAACGATGAAATCCAGCATTCAATCGTTGAACACACTATTTAGCAACCGCAACGTTTGCATTGTTCAAGGTCCGTCTTTATTCCTTAATTGCTTCACTTCTTTCACGGACTGTCTTCTGCTTAACGTTAAACAACGAACAGAACAAAGCAAAAGGTATATCAAGCACAGAAATTCATGCGTCACATCCTTCTTCAAAGAAGTGGCAGTGCTTCCGTTTGTCAGCAAACGCGCTAGTGTAAGGATTCCAGTCAGACTTTCTGTCTACATCAGGAAGAAGACCTTGAATGAAGCTTAGGTACGTTTTAGCGTACATTCAACTCCAAGATACTTATAGACATTGTTTTCACGTACATCTTTGCCTTGGATTATAAAATGGGCCTTGTTCAAGTGCACAGAGAAGGTAAAATAGCACCTTCACACAAAATACCTTATTTTCACTGACTTGCTTACCAACTACTACTACGCTTGTTAAATCCATTCTTCGTTTTCTTCCTTGTCTTTTGTCCTCCATTCCTTTTCAGGCAAGTTTTAAAAAAACAATGGCAAACCATCCATTAGTTCCGTCATGTTCATCCGAGTGTAACGACCTAAAAGATACTTGGGTACCGTACCGGATTTAGATTAAACTCGGTGTAAGAATCTACGCTAATTTTATTCCAAACACTTTCTCACTTTATTTCTATTTCTATCTATTCCTTTCTACAACGTTTTCTTATACCTTTCCTCTTCGTTTCATCAAGCACAGGACAGCTGTCGACATGCACACTAACATGCTACCAATAGAATGATAGATATTTTTTCGATGGGTTCGACTTTAAGTCGATTCAACTGTTCGCTACCATCAACCAGGGGGCAAAATTACTTTTTGAAACTAGGCAGATGTCACAGATTAGAAGAAAAGCCAACACATATTGTAATGGACATTATTACAATCCTTTCGTTGTTGAGAACAATACTTATGGCGTCGAAAGACGGAGATAACCGCCACAAAAAAATACACTCTGGAACTGAGTAGAATACGTATTCTAACCTCGTCCAAGCCCATGTCTAAACCTGCTACCAACACATCACAGAAACTAACAATCTAAAACAACGCATGCCAACTTAATTGTGAGGTTACACCTTTCCACTCTTTGCGTAGACAAACTCGTCTGACACCACTGAATATTCCAGATAACGATGATAATCGTTATGACTGACAGAAAGAATTAAATCAATACATAATGGTCAAGGTCAGCAAAAGAATGGCACATCAAGCATGTTAATTGTGAGGATGCTTATGAATTAGCTTCTTATAGTAATACATAAGCAGATAAAAGATATTAAATACATTTGTTACACATTTATTCTTACCACCCTCTATTAGAACATATACATTTATGTGGTCCAAAAAATACCATTACAGGCCCATAGTATACTATACACAATTACACACTCAAACAAACAATAGTTAGGTTATGAGCAACTAAAACCACACTTCAGCATACACAATGTAACCTTTATTACAACTGTATGTACATTGATACATAAATAACGCGTAGACAAATGAAAGTACTGAAAGAAACAGAATCACTACGACCTATTTCCAGCCAGGGACTTTATGCTGCCACTAAATATTATTTACACAAAATTTGTTTTCTTCCAAAAGCGAAGTGAACATCTTCAAAGGGAAATACAATCAACATTCCTACAATTCACTACACATTAAAACTGGACCAGAACAGGTTGCCATACCAAAGTTTTCAAACTGCGACAATGTTACATATTCATTAAAAATATATTGGTCAAAGTATTTGCCACAAATTATAATGGAAACATTAAGTATGGAAGATAGGCCTACCTATAATTTCTTACATCCAGAATCAGAGGTTTCTTAAAAGTTAATTAAAAATTACACATAAAACCAAAGTATAATTTACGTCAACTGAAAATTAATTGTGTTTCTTATGACAATTAATTAAATCCTACAATATATCACACATCAAAATAATTAATACGGCATAAGTTTGTAAAAGTATGATTTCTTGAATATTAACTCAAGACTTTTATGATATCAAGTCAGAAAGCAGCATTTTCACATTTCTTCTTCTGTCTACACTTATATTTTGTCAAGTCTCACTATGTCTGTACTTGTGTGCAAATGGAAAGTGCGATTTGATGAAACTGGCATACAAGTTTAATTATAGAAAAACAATGAAACAAATATACAACTTATTCATACGTTACTAACTTACAATGTGATTATTAATGAAAAAGTTGGCAACCCTAAGATTGAGCAAATCCAGGATTATGAAAGCAGAACAGGTCAGGAAATCATGAAAAATGTGGCCTCGGACCACAAGGACTAGAGTCAGACACAAACAATTAAAAGCCCCAGCCACAGCACACCAAGTAATACGGAACAAACTCCATTCCCTCCTCTTTTTTATTATTTAGCTGCCGCGTTGAAGGACAGAGGGAGACGCAGTTTAACAAACTTCGTGTGCACATATCTGTAGCTGAACATATTTCTATTAACACAATGTCAGTGCCAATAAAATGCCTACTAGTGCTTCATTGCCACACTAAATTAAAAGTACTAGTATTTAATAAAACATTTCTCCCAATGACAAAGATTACAATTATAAAATTAACACTTTCAATAAACTTGTACATCATAAACAGATGTTATAAATATCACTTTCACTTCAGTAACACTAGGCAATTAGTCCCAATTCCCATTCATTCTAAAGTTTTCAATACATAACATGATTCTGTCACGCCAGCCTCTTGAAATTAATTATAATGCGGCCTGAAATAATACCCTATTACTCAAATTACGATGCCAACAGTAGGTTTACTTCTGAATATGACTTACTAGTTAAATAAATAATAAACTCGGTACTTCCAAATTCTAACTGACAAACTAACATCGCGTGTACATGATTTTTTTACTACCTGTGTTATTCAACCATTATATTTAATTCTTTAACAACCTGGATAAAAATTGAAAATGGTATCAAAGAATCGTGCACTAGTAAATGTAGTTATCAACCAGATGGACTGATCTTTTATTAGATATGATTGTTTTAAGTTACTAAATATGACTTCACCCAAAACAGAATCATCCTTCTGCACTTCATATATACAGCACCAGACCCATTATTTGAAAAGCTTGGGATCCAAGGCTTTTTGGATTCTAGATTTACTTAATTTTGAATATTCATGCAGAGGAATTTTAATACCGACTAAATAAACAATTACAAATTTTTGTTGAGGTATGCATTATCTACTAAATTATACAAAATACAAATTCTTCTGCTTTCAGATTCTTACCAATGTAACATTATTTTAAATTCTTAAAATACCTCCTAACTTATATCTTCTGACTGTAGGTGACTACATCCTGCTGGGGAAGAAGCCTGGGGAAAAGCATGGATTTTAAGTCCTCCCAGATTTTGGGATGCCAGATATGAAGTCTGAAGCTATATCATCCAACAATTTCATTATAAATGTTTTTCACCAACATTAATCAAAAGAACACTGCAACCCTATTATGAAAATCTTCTAATACTTGTTCATAATCTGCAGCTACAATACTCATACACTTTTACCTTTACATTCATATTCTACAAAGATATGAACAGTCAACAACCATAGAAGAGTCTCCCAAAGAGGAACGAACAATTTTGCTTATAATTTAATGGGTGGTGAAATGACATATTGAATATGAAAAATAAGGACTGTTGCTAGAAGGAACCAACTTCTACTAATTACAATGGAAAGTAAGGAGGATTCAACGCAGCCAAACATGCATACAGATGGAGAAATGCTTACAGCTTAAATCCAGCCATGCCACATCGTAAGTGAATGAATCAACATGTAGGACTTTCAAAACTCCTTATGAATTTTCACGTTTATTACAGAGTGCATTCAAAAAACCTGCAAAGTAATCACAAGGGCTAACAAGAAACCAATTATTACCCAAGTTACTGTCTGTATTTAACTACAAATAATTTTTTTGCAACTGTAACACACACCAGTATACAAGTGGGAATCTAGTGATGAATTTTTATTAGAAAATTTTTTAGAATTTTAACACGAATATATAACTACAAATTCAAATCATATGTGACTTCAAATCAATACATGTAATTATCTAAAATAACAATTTTGACTATCCCATACTACAACAAATGCAATAATTTCATGAACACTTACAAGGTAAATTATTCATGATACAATCCTTCACAATAAATTTATGTTCACATAAATGAAGTGGATTTATAAAAGTATCTCATTTAATCATCTAATTACCGCAGAAACATAAGAATCACTAAACATTTAGCAGTTTTTTTATATAATACAGATGATGCAGTAATAATCACCTTTCAGAACCTCATGTCTGTTATTTATTTATTTACTGATATTTTTGTGAGTGCAAATTAAGGAAGATGGGCTGAACCATAATGCATAAGTTTGCATCATGACTGTACTGCCCAGAAAGCTACTGTATTATTCTTACGAAGGAATGATGTAAAACTGAGGAATGAAGCACAGTATCACAATGAGGGAGAAGAGAAAGTATGGCTTATATTTTGAAAAGTTGATATCACTCATTCTGAGATGCATGGTTCCTGTTTAAAAATGTTATGGTTTATCATCTCACCACCATGACAAGTCTCAAAAACATTAGACATACACATGGGACAAATCAAAGATGCTGTACAATCAGAGAAAGTCTGATCATAGACTAATGTACACAACTGCTTACTCAGGGAATGAAATTACAAGAGCTCAAAGTATATCCTTAAAAAAAGTACTTGTTCATAATGCTGCTAACAGATACAAGTTATTACACATAGAGAAAATACAGTGAAATCTTGTTATTACAAAACACTATTACCAACACCACTTGGATCTCATTACAGAGCAAGGTTTAAAAGAAAACAGCATAATAAAAGCACTTGTAAACATTATAATAAAATGCACGGAAAGAGCTTCAAGTGTGAAAACAGTATCCCCATGATCTCCATATAACTGATATTTGGCAAAAATGGGAGAAAGAAAAAGTTCTTATCTTGTCAAATACTCTGTTATATAGCGTTTCCAACCATGCATATTTGGCACAGAATCTACAATTAGGTCATCCTAGAGAAAAAATTGCTTGAAAATCAAAAACAATTATTTCCACCCTATTTGATAATCATGATGCAGTCTACAATGCTGGGAAACAATTTCTTGTTAAACACATTGTGGAAGGCATGCTACCTTCTCTGGTTACAGACCCATCCACACTAACCTTGGATGTTCCAGTCCTTATTAACCCCTATTTAAATTATTTCTTATGGATGAAAATTCCCTGCTTAAAGGGAATTTGCTTTAAGTTGTAATTTTCCAGTTCCAATTAATCATGGATAACAAAGACGTCCTGTATGCCTATCATGGGAATCCATTTCTCTAGCATTACTCCTAACATTCAGAGACAATGCAACAAGATATGAAAAAATATTAATGCCAGCAATCTAAATTATGCTGCAGAAAAATTGTTATATTTATCTTTTCTATCCAAAAGCTTATATTTGTACATAAATGAACAAAACAAAGGAAAATCTATGATTACATTACCTCACCATAACAAGTCTTTAAATGTGATAATTTTTCAGTAATGGAAATGAGATTAGTATAAAAATCCCTGCAATAAAAGTGATATTTTTGCCAGGAAAAGTTAATTATAAAAAAATATGAACTCTGCATATTCAGCTAACAGTTCCATTTAGTTGGAGGAAGTCATCTTGTTTCCACTGTCCAGATTCACCTTCAAAACCTCTATCCTCTCCACAAATAATATTGTAGTCTCACAACTCTCATTTGTTGGTATTTTATTTTATACTTTTGCTCATGAGCAAGAGTATTAAAAAACCAATCACATCATCGCTACAGCCAATCACAAAACATCCTTAGGCGATGAAGAACGGCACAAAGAAAGCACAAACTATACACAGCAGTGTCCTTTGCACAATTTAAAGTTTTTCTCCAAAGGCTTAAACTAGTCCATTTCAATATTTCTAATCTGCGGTACTAGCTCAAATACCAAATGACAGACTGTTAGAAGTGAACAACACATGAAGAGAATGAGATCGTATCTGCTTAACAAAATTATATTATACCTTTCAAACAGAAGCAGATATTAATTAATATCAGTACATAACTGAAGAAGACAGCATCACTATTAATTACATAAAAAAGGGATCAGTATATATGCCAAGAGGGATTACAGATTATTATGGTGTTCTCACCATTCTTATGCCAAAAATTATGGGGAACTGCATTTACAGTTCGGTCTCAACATCATTCATACAGAATGTCCAGTGACTGACAATACTTAAAAATCTCATTCCTGTGGTAATTTCCAGTCAAAAACATTACACGAACAAAAGTCTGATTCTCAATGGGTACAGAGCTAGATACCTTAAATTCAGGATGACTTTAATCTTATGCAGAACATAGGGTCATTCACATGTCTTGAGCAACACAAAACACAATTACAGACGTACTTCGAACATGATGGGACATACCATTTCAGTCAACATGTGACACGTTACCTAAATGAGTAGTTCCATTACCAATGGATTCATCATGGCGGCCTGCAAAACTGGTCATTGTCGTCACCAGACCCCACTTCCCTAAACTTCCATAAAACATGGCAAAGTAAGAACTACATTATCAAATGTTTAACACTGCAAGATACACAAATCTTGAATTTTAACTATCTGCAGCTGCTGAGATTTGAACCAATGTTCATATTATATTTCTGATTAGGAATTACATCAGGAATAAGATTCAGAAGTACTGACATATCTCCAGCAGACATGAGTTGGGGGATTAAAAATGTTAAAGAACATCTCATTAGGAAAACCAGCGATTCCCTAAATGTTTGTCATAATGTATAATTCAACAGACCAAATTCAGACATCCTCCACTGTCAGATATATACATATATGATATGCCTGATACACATTATATTTCAGGACTACAGACAAGTGAAACATCATGTACATCATATATACTTCACACAATGCAGAATTTACAGCATAATAATGGTATGAAGGAAGTCCAAATTGAATTGTTAAATCAAAGAACTTGTGTTCTGATTCCTTTCCTGAAGATAATGCATGCAAGATCGTAAAAGAAGGTATTCGTGACTAAATGAAGACCACAGGCAAGAGATGTTCTCAATACAGAAATAATCCATTTGAAAGGTCCAGCAGAAAACCAAGGCCGCTTCTGGCTGAAGTTTAATTTTTACATGGTTTCATATATTAAAAGAAAAACTGATTTACTGGTGCAAGAACAGTGTGGCTCAAATTATTAATTATACTAATACAGCAAAAATGGAGCCACATTGCAATTTAAGAGAGAATTAAACGATGCTTTTATCATATTCCAAAGGTGGTATGTGCCTTTTGCGTTGGGCCCTTTATTTCAATCATACCACTAACTTTGTTAGTATAACAACTTCAGGCCCTTCACCAATATGTACCATGGTCACTCTAGTTTACACTCAGAATAGTGATGAAACTTATGATACTTCTTCTTTCTACCATATTTCCACCTCACCAGTCATAATATTTACATCACTGTTCTTCATTACAGAGGTAAGATGGCAGTGCACACCCCCATACAGAGTTAAGGTATGTTTGGGTCTACAAAACTGCCCAATAACAAGAGTTCACTATTAACACTTACCAAAAAACAATAAATAAACAGGAGCCACAGCTATCAGACACCACTGTCAAACGCTGTCTTCGGAGAGACAGTCAATGACATTGGTTCTGCATTGTCAACAAGAGTGGATCTCATCCCAGATGGCGTGGCTGATTCTGCAGCATTTATCTCCCTTTCAGCATTACTAATCATTTCCTCCTGTGATGCCCTAAACAGAGAAGAATCATTTTAACTCTTAAGAAGTACATAAAAATTCAGTGTCTTTTTCAATGCAGGGAACTTTCATAACAATAAAAGTGGTTTTAACTCTGATAAGAAAGAAAACTAGACAGAAACATTCATTAAGAATAACATTTTAACTCCCCTTTTTTTCTAAAATGTGTTTCCTTGGTAGGTTTCTATTCCAGCAAGTATCAATCTGTTCTTCACATCATTATAATCTGTACCCACAAAACCATTAAATATGGATAAAATCACAAATTATATGAACTAATATAATCACTAGACAGAACTGGTGCCTCATGAACAAATTTCAACAGTACTGAAAAATGGTAAATGAAGGACTGAAAATGGGTGGTCCTGAATTTACAGTTTTGCCTGCAGAGTTCCAGAACTAATCACAAATACTGAATGAATGACAAAAAAGCATGGCTTAAACAAAGAAAATTTCCTTATATTCATAAGGATAATGAAATAATGTTTCCTCATTTCCAAAGACAGACCAAAAAATATATGTAATCCTTATTCCGCAGGACAAATGTAAAATTTCAAATCAAATTCTCACGCAATAAGACAATAACTATACAGAACACGATGAGATAAATCTCATTATGACCAATCAAGACCTAATTTTAATTTCACTTCAATGCACTACATTTGTTAATGCATAAAGATTTAAAATGCTGAAAACAAATGCACATATTCCTGTGATGAGACATAGACTGTAGCCCCTTACAAAGTCTGTAACTACCACAACAAAGCTGAAGAGTATCTGAAAATAAATGCACGAGTTACAAAATGCAAGTTGTCATGCTGAAAACCAAAATAAGAATAATAAAGCTATAAGCATGTATAAAATATTTCAAAATATTTCAGCACTTCAAGAAAATAAAACTTCTACACTTTGCTAGATTTAACTGGACAATTTTTTTTAATTAGGATAATTTCACGTAAAAAACATTAAAAAATGGATGTTATATAAGCAAAATTACAGACAGGGTATAAACAATACACCTGAAGCTCCTACTATTAGCCCCGTTTATTTCATATGTACTTTCAATATCTGCAGCAATAAAAATGTACCATTATGCATCACAATCAAGTCTGATACAGTGCCACGCCATTTTATTTCCATTTGCTACAGATATCACCTTGGAATATCCTAGCAATATCTACATTAAAAAACAAAACCTACTCATGTAAGAAAATTTGGTCATTACTTGGGATCAGAAGTGTAAATTATTACATACTGAACCAAGGCAGTTACAGTAGATGATTGTGCTGTTGGGAAGGGTAGTAATTTTTAAATAGAAATATTATAGTGAATAAGCTGTGTATGATATAATCAGTTTCAATGGTTTGATGTGGCAAAAAAGAGTAGGGTTAAATGTTGGTGAGAAAAAAAATCATATGTGCCTAATGCAAACCTGCAAAATATTGCCTACTGTTTTACCTAATTATAAGTTAACCCACCCATCAGTCAGTGGGTTCAATTTGGGGGGGGGAAGAGAGAGAGAGAGAGAGGAGAAATACTAAATTGGAGGACAGAACAAAAAATGTGAAGGCCTTGAGGTTGTGCCATATTTTTGGATATGGTGAGTCAATGTGAAAAATTGAAGTATAACTGATGAAGTTAGTAAGAACAGGTGAAAATAACTGGACAGCAGATGAGTGTGTCAAGTTCTTTACACAAGAATTTGTAAGTATTTTGGTTAAACAGAGAGAGAGAGATCACATTAACAATACATAAGGTAATAGTATATCAAAAGCTAACTACACATATATACTCTAAAATTTTGTATTTTTTATCCTAAATTTTGCAACTACAATATTTTGCACACAATAAAGCGTTTTAATACAGTACTTAATAAAAATACACCCAAAACCAAAAAATGTTGATTTACTGCCATCCCCACTTTAACGTAAATACTGGTGGTATACAAAGAACAGTGTTCTAACATGGATAGACTGTATCAACAAGCCCAATCAGTGCTATAACCCAACATCAATCTTAAATTTCACAGTGTTTATATTATTCTATAAGAAATCAAATTATATTATACACTTTGAAAATTATACAAGGCTAACATAACACAGAATCCATAATTTTTTTAATATTTAACTCTTAGGAACAGAGTTGTTCTTTAGGTGGTGATAGTCACTCAGATGGTGACAGGAGGACAGAGAGAACTGCATAAAGAAGAGCTCTTGGAGCTGCACAAGTGTACAAATCACATTCCATGCTGGACCATTCTCACCATTCAAGCAAAATGTAACTGAAAGTTGAAATAAGCAGCCTGACATTTAATCTACATTGAAGACATTCTGAGTATAAATGGCAATACGCAGAACATGCATAAGCTTCATTAAAAATAGCAAAACATTTCTATACAACTAAAAAACCACTCATACTGTCTATTTTATGCTTACATTACTGTACGAGGGTATCATTTCCCTTAACATGCAGCCAGGCACAATCTTCAAACATGAGAACAGCAATACATAGCTTATGTAACAGAACTGCATGCATAATATGTTAGCAGAGTTAGTATTTGCCTCAATTGAGTGCATTAATGGGTCTAGGTTGGACGCCAGACATCAGGATCCTCCATGAGTGTGGTGTTATGATCGGCCTGCGGTGTCGAGGCCGGAGGTGATGCCGCTGCTGTCATGTCTTGACGTGACCCTCTGCAGGTATACATATAATCCAACTGAAAATTTCTCCCAGTCACCAGCACACATGCATGTACCACAAGGAGCAAAACGACACACTCATGCCTACACATTAGATTCTTATCAGCACTATAATTTTATTCACTTGACATATGGAAATATAATCTCATGTAACTATATGTTTAAACACTAATGTGTCATCATCAGGCCACAACCATATTTTCTAAAATGTGTTTACCAATATGTACACCATTATACATATGGTACATTGTCAGGTAAAGAGCCGGCGTAGCTCAGTCGGTATAGTGACTGGCTATGGACTGGGTGACCGGGGTTCAATTCCCAATGGGGGCAGAGGATTCTTCCTCTAGCCTCTGCGTCCAGACTGGCTCTGGGACCCACCAAATCTCCTATGCAATGAGTACTGGGGTCCTTTCCCGGTGGTAAAGCACGGCTGGGGCGGACCACTCACCCCCATCTAGTGCCGAGGTCAAGAATGAGTAGGAGCTATACCTCCACTCACCCCAAGCACCTACTTGGAGTATAGTGGGACAGCTTTTTTTTTACATTGTCAGGTAACTGGTAATTCATTATGCTTTATTTACCTGTATTTGTATTAAGATCACTAGGTGTGATTTAATATATTGTTTTGTTTTGTCTTTCTGTGGAGTGACAGAAAGACAAAAGATATTCAGTACTTCCTTTGTCTGTGGTTGAGATTTCCACCAAAATACAGTCCATGTGCATGTGTGCGCATGCATGCACACATGTGTGTGTGTGTGTGTGTAACTTAATTTCAGAGTTATTATATTTTCAGAAAGTACGGTACTTTCTGAAAAATGGCCAGTACACAGGGATTGTGCCTCTCTCTTCTTTGTGTATTAATAAACATAGAGTAATAGAATACAGTTATCAATAATATATTTTATATTTAGTAATGGACAGAAAGTAAGAATATGAAATCATCAAATATAAAACAATATTGCTTAATGTAAATACAATGATAAATACTCACTTTCTGCCAAGAGACATCAGCCCATAGATCACACCTGTAGTGAAGATCAACCCACTGCCAAATATGCTCTGAAGCTCGCGACAGAGGAATACAGATGGTAGAGCAATACTGAAACATCAGCAGAAGTACATATTCAAATTTCTGAGGGGGGGGGGGGGGGGGGGGGGGGGGTTAGGGTATTTCACTGAACATGTCACACACTGATACATATTTTTATGAATTATTTACAACATTTACACTCACAACAGTATATTGTGTCACCATCCAAAAAATGCATTTATGCATACCAATTAATACAGGATATATCAATATTACAGACATTACACCACAATGCAGACAGCACAACATCAGTATAGCCGCTATTAAATCACCCAAGACCACCCTACACACATATAAAGTCAATAATACTGCAGTAATAGAGAAGTATAACAAACACAGTCAGGCTGTAATACAACTGGTATAATAAGCATTAATCACCCTCTTTGGTACAGGAAATGTATATAGGATATAAAAGTTTGTAACATTTTAAGGGTTCTACAGCATTTTTAATTTTAACCTATACAATATGTAATGTAATTACATGAAGTAACAGATGAACCTGCATACATGAAAAGACAAAATACACATTGTTACATTTTGCTGGGGAACTGTCACCAATTAAGGTCAAAATATAATTTGTATTAAACAAAAAACTGTTATGTAGATGGTTACACCAAAAAGGTAAAACACACACAACCAAAAATGCTGTATTCTAAGATTCTTTTGTAAAGTTAGAGTGAGGAGCAGAACAATGATGACTCTACAATCCTGTTACATTGTATTTTCCATTTTGGTACAGTTTAAAATGGCTATCCTATTCAAAATTCCCATTAATTAAACCCAACAATTTGAACCCCTTGAATCCCCTATATATGCAATTTTTAAAAGTGTCATAATGGCTCTGGAAAAACAGTTCATCTATCTAGACAGTACAAACAATTTTAATTCATATCTTAATATTATGCTTCTACTTACAGACAATAAAAAGCTGCCCTATTCCAATATGGCCGTTTCTCTACCCAGTCACTAGCATTTTGCACAAAGTCAATAAAAAGACAGCAGCAAGGAGCTTCTATCATAATCACAACAGCACCTGCCATCCTGTAAATAAGAAACATAGTTTGCAGTTCCCTTTTCACGCCATTCTAAATGCAGGACAAGTGTGGTTATTTAATGAACATTTAAATAATAAAATCTTCTTAGATTGTAGTACACTGTAATCAAATAGCAAGGCAATGGCTTAAGAATTGCCACACTAAAATATCAAAGACAGTAGGATTAAAAGTCTCAGCCTTGAAACCCTGAACTGACAATGACAACCAAATTTCAACAATTAAAGAACACAATATTATATATTTATCTCATTGTATAAAATATCATGTACTCACATTTGCCACATTCCACTGATAAGACATTCAATGTCACCAAACACAATACCAATACAGCTCCATAATCCTAGTATAATAGCCACTGTAAAGAAACAAATTTTAACTTGGTATAGTTTAATATCCATACATTTACAGTCAATGAGGGGTGGTCCTCTAGCTTGGGAATTTAGTGAAAAAATATTTACAATTATATTAGCTCCTCTAATATTTTTAGCCTCAAAATACAAATTAAAAAAACATGGTACCTTTTACAAACTTGCTGTTGCTTCACTAACTCTATGGAGCAGCGTCTTTGAGAAGCTAACAGTTACTCAGCTAATCAAGAAATTCACTGCCTTCTTAGGAAACAGAAAGTTCATTACTATGTTTACAAAGGCTGCCAATGGATCCTATCCTGAGCCTCATGAACCCAGTCCTCATTCTCAAACCATATTTCTCTAACACCCTCCTTAATATTATCTTCTCATTATACCTAGGTCTGCTCCCTTCAAGTTTTCAGATTAAAGTCTTGAATGCATTTTTGTCTCTTCCATTCTACATGCCCCACCCATATCATACTTCTTTTATTTATCACCCTGTGAACACCTGATGAAAAGTACAAATTCTGAAGTTCGTCTTAATGCAATTTTCTCCAGCCTCCTGTTACTTCCTGCCTCTTAGGTCTAAATAAACATCACTTATTTATTATTAGGTATAAACATAATGTAAAATCAACATGAAACTGCAACACTGAAATAATGTATTTTCTACACATTCTTTAATTCTGAAAATAGTTAAAACAGCTTAGATATACTGCAAACATTGTATAGCATCTGATTTCCTTTTAAAAGTGTCATTTGTATAACTAGAAATTATAATTTATAAAAACCAATAATTAAGAGTAATAAATCCTTTCATTATTTCTGTGCATCTGCTTTCTAATAATAAAACAAATAATGACAATTCTGTTTTTCCAGTGAAGTTCATAAAACATTTTACATGCCCCTACGAGGTGTGCAAATTACAATTTGGAAACAACTAAATCTAACTCACCTCCTAACCGAGATATCTTCGGAGGACATGACAAATACACGTACTACTTGTTTTATATGTCAACATACATTCTAAAGCACTTACTAAACAGCACAGAGTCTGCAGCATCACAGAAAGAGATCATTTTTGTTTAATTACAGTACTAGTGGTAATCATTTTAGAAGGTTCCAAATGGAGGGTGTTATTGAAAGCCAGTAATAGTATTAATAATTTTTTAAAAAGTTCTCAGCACAGGATATTGTTAAAATCCGGTTAATCTGATATTCCAGCCACACCAACCACAGATGTTCTGATATTTTGTTTTAAATAACCGACTTCTTTGTTGCATATACCCATTTAAACTGGACAAACTGACACTAACAGTGAAATATACCAAATTCCTATGAGAACAACATCAACATAATAAAGATGTCATACCAAAACTACCGACGGTCCCTAATCCGCGACCAGCATATTTCATCCACCAAGGGACGTCATCCTTTGCAACTGCATCTTGACCAGGCCTCTGCATAATAGCACCAATTTTCTCTGCAAGTGACTGAAAAATTTGCTTAAAATTAGTTTATTATTAAGTATTATTCTAATTTCGTTGGTCTACTCAATGAAAACTAAACACTAACGAGCAGTATAACAGTTAATTATACAAACCATCTTTGTCTAAGCTAATGTCCTCCGTCACTTTCTGCAACAGCTGACACCACTCACGCAGATGGCCACAGATTGATAATTCGCTTTGGTAATGGCAGTAATGCCAACTTTTTCGCAAAGTCCCTAAACAATTTGACATAATAAGGTTATTGCCATTCTACTTCAAGTGTACAAATGACCTACATGGAATGGTGCGAAAAGCTTAATACTTCTTCAATCTGAGAAATTACATAAGATCTCTAACTTATTAAAATAATAGGCATACAGCACAAAATTTCAAATAACTGTCGCTGTTCAGAAGCCAACTGTACTTGGTCAGCCACCTTTCTATGTCCAACCCAACCCTAACATATTTTCGTTTTTCTCTTCTGTTCTTGGTAAATAAATTTTTCTACGTTTATCAATGTAAGTTTTCCTTCGCTTTTCTTTATTTGTTAAATAGGTCTGATGTTTTAGTTCTTTACGTCTCTGTTCAGAGCCCAACTGTTCTTGGTCAGTCAACTTTCTCCGTTCAGCCCCACCCTTGCAAATCTTCGTCTTAAACTCGATCATAAAGTCAGATTTCATAATAGTCTTCGCAATCGTAATATAACGAATTATTAGTATTAGTTTACCTCGTTGGTGTTGGTACTTCAAATAGTTGATAACGTCTTCTTTCACTTTTCTTCACGTTCTTTACGTCGCTGTTCGGAGGCCAACAGTCAGTCAAATCTGAATGAGTATTATTATTAGTATCAGATTACCTTGTTGGTGTTGGTAACGTGATCTTGCGACTGGCTAGGTAGCTGGAGATCTCGTTGTTGTGAAGCGTTATTTGTTTACTCGGCATTGTTGTGTTCCTCAACAATGCCGAGTAAACAAATATAAGGTGACAGTGTTGATGACGTCATTTTTTGATAGACGACGAATCACAAATTTTTATAGTAGATTTCACAACCGTAGACGATACATGCAAATCGCGGCTCCCGAACGATATTCATATTAGCATATGGATGTAACAAGAGCAGTAGTAATGTTGGGAACGAGAATTTGACTAAATATAAATACCTCTAAACGGTATTGTGTCTACCTAGTGCAATTTCTTTTCATGCACGCCTGTTAACGTAACCAATGCTTGTGACATTGGTTTCAACCCCTACACCACCCACGCGGAATAGGACCACAGCACAGCCTTTCTAAGTTATACAGAGAATGTCATTATTATTTCGTTATATAATTTCTTAAATCTACAGAAATGTAATTGTACATAACCCTTGAGTGATACTACAGCGGCAACTGCAAATACGAACGTGTATGAAATAAGAGAGACTGAATGCTCCAAACAATTACGCATCAGAATGTATACAAAGTCGCCTACGGTGTTTGTGTCGATGGTTGTTTAGACATAATTTATCTCAGCCTTTGTAAAATTATGCAATAACGAACATAACATTTATTTTATAAATATAAACCTCGATACTAAAAGATGGTAACCGTTTCATGTCAGTATGGCATTTGCAATAGCAAAACCTTAATACTTTTTTAGTTTGCAGCTGCATTAAGTACCTCAGGAATCCAGCAATTTACATTCCTCACTGCCAGTTTATACTTGCACCCTGGAATGCTCTTGAAGGGGCATCTTCGAGGCATCTAACAATTCCCATCATATGTAGAACAATTTAATTTATCTGTATGATGTTCTTTTAGTTACAAGTTTCCAATAGAAAACTGTTCTTATTCAGCATCATGTGTTTACTATACTTGCTGTAAATTAGTTATCAAGTTGCAAAAAGCACACAATCATGGCATTTTATACAACAAAAATTATGTAGCTGAAGAGTTAAAATATTCTTCTGATGAAATTTTCACATTGACACACACACTCTCCCAAGCACTATTGTCAAATTTTACTATGTTCTTGAATAAATGTTATGAGTTAAAATAAAATTCAGCAAATACAAATGATGATTTTAAAAAATCAAAATATGCAGTATGATGTGATATGTATAAACTAAAATGAGGATTGCATTAGTAAGGGAAGATAAAAATGGTCAAAGAAACTAAGATGTGAAAGGGATGGTAAAGGAATACAAGAGGAAAGATGGAAGAACATAAGGTAATAAAGGTATACAGGAAAGGAAGCAAGACTGAGGAATCAAGATAAAAAAGAAATGGTTTCCTGTTGAATTTCAACAGGCTTTTTAGACAAATTACAAAATAAAAATTGAATGGTAATCATAATAATGTAGTCCATAAGCATTTCATGAAGATATTACATTATAAAGTTACCAGAAAATGGAAAAGTTCTACTAATTCCTGATCATAAGTTTTCTCATCATCACATAAAAGTTCACCCAAAAGTAAATTTTTTATACAATACGTACCTTGATGTGTTGTAATACAGTTTGTAATATCTTCTAGAGATAAGTCATGTCTGCTATCTTCCTATCTGGGGAAATGAACATCTTACCAGTTATGTATGACTAATTACCATCATTACATACCTAACAAAAGTATGGGATATTAAACATGTGACTAATTTGTAGTTTAGATGCGTCATGTTTGTGTTGAAATTCAGTATATATTTATTTATTATTTCAGTCTATACACAAACTTATTATTAAAATGTAGTTGTTAAAATTAAAATTTAGCGCTTTTCATCGTTATTACGATGTTACATTTCAGCGCTTATTATTTTACGACATGTTTC